TGCACAGGTGACAACGGTGGGACACGGCCAACCCATCCCCTGCCCCCAGCCCCACCGGCAGGATTTCGTGGTGAACCTCACCTGGGGGATGATGCTGTAGAGGCCGTAGGTGGTGTATTCAGTGCCCAGCCAGATGGTGATGTTGCCCTGAGCGTAGTGATGGAGGTGGGTGCTCACCTGCCCGTAGTCCCACAGCTCCACACAGAGTGGCCCCGGGCAGCCGGAGCGCAACGACTGCTGAGCCTCCGCTGTCAGCCGTGCAGAGTCCACAAACAGGCTGGGAAAGGGGTATGGTGATGGGGGGGAGGGGTTGGGGGGCTTGGGGGGGAACCGCTGGGTTTTACTGGGAGGGGTGAGATTGATTCTGGGAAAGATGTAGGACTTGGAGGTGGGATGCGATGGGGTGGGCGCTGCAGGATGTGAGGAGCGCGTGGGGAACGGGTGGAGGGGGGGGGGAATCTAATGGGATAAGGGAGGAGGGTTGGGGTGAGATCCACAGCAGCCACTGCCCACCTGATGTTGGTGGTGGTCAGGAGGGTGTAGGAGTAGAAGACGGGGTTGTAGGGGATGTCGTCTCCGCGGAGGTTGAAGAGCCCTGCCAGGGGTGAGACATCAGAGCTGTGCCCACCCTGATGCCCCTGGGGCAGTGCCACAACCTTGGTGCTCTACTCACAGGCCGTCTCCTCCAGCCCTGAGAGCAGCAGAGCTGTGGGACTCCGCGTGTGCTCCTCCATCTGCTGCCGGATCCCAGCCACCTTCTCCTGCCAGCTGCTCCCTGGGGTGAGGTGGGGGGGGCTCAGTGCATGGCCCTCCTCTGAGCGAGCAGAGATGGGTGGGAGGCGTACCTGTGAACTCCTCTGGGAGGCTGTAGATGTTGCCGGAAGGTAAAGGGGGTCTCTGGCTGCCCCACACTTGGTCCACAAGGTTGGTCTCCATGGGCAGCAGGGTGATGCCGGAGCCCTGCAGGGCCTCCTGGTAGCTCTTCCATGTGTCTGCAGGGAGAGTGGCCCACGGGGCTGCATCACCCAGCAACCACCCTATGAGGAAGCATCCCCTCGGTGCCAGCCTGCCGTACCGATGGAGAAGAGGAAGGGGTCCAGGCTGACGTTCCCCCCTGCAGGAACCAACTCCATGATCCACGTCCCGATGGACTCAATCCACGCTGCAAGGCAGAGCTGTGTGGGGGGGGGGGTTCTGGCAGTGGGCAGCCCCTCACCCCCACCTCCCTGCACTGACTGGTCCTCTGCAGCTCCCAGTTGCAGTCCAGCTGCCTTTCTGCCTGCGTCCAGTAGCGGCTGTCGGTCCACAGGGCTGCTCTGTCCTCCGTCACCACGCCGGTGCCTGGGGGGCAGCAGGTCTCAGGCATCGTTTCTCCCCCAGTCCCACTCCCCAGCAGTTCACATCCCCCCACGGCTGGGCACAGAGCCCAGCAGAGATGCTCCCACCTGCAGAGCCGGTGAAGCCGGTGAGCCAGCCCAGGCGGGCGTCCCTGTCTGCAATGTACTCACTCTGGGGATGGGATGGAGAGGTGAGAGGAGATCCGAGAGCCAGCACGGCGTGTGTGGGGATGGCACCTCACCATGTGAGCATCCGTGGAGGGCACGACGTAGGCGTGGATGTTATGGGCACGCATGGCGTCCCGCAGAGCGCTGAGCTGTGCCGAGCTGTTGGTGGCCGTGGGAGGCAGGTACTGGTGGCACAAAGGGACAGGCAGGAGTGGGGCTGGGCAGGGGGCCGTCGAAGCACCCCAGGGTGGGCGCAGGCTGTGCGCGAGGGGCTCACCGGGGGGTCCACGGAGCAGTCCCTGATGTCGGTCCTGGGGGAGACGGCGAGCTGCGAGCGTCCCACGGAGCAACCTGAGGGGTTCTGAGCCTCAGCGGGAGCTCGGGCTCCTGCTCAGCCCCAGCCCGGCCCGCAGCGATGCGTGCCCCGTACCCTGCAGCAGGAGCAGCCAGGCTGCTGTCCAGCGGGAGGGCGGCATGGCTGTCCCCGCACTGCGGGACGCGGAGGGGACGTTTGGTGCCGTGGAGCGAGCGACCGGTCCCTCCTCCTGCGCCTTTGCCCCTTGGGCGGAGGGATGCCGAGGCCCCGGGCAGAGACCGGGGGTCGTTGTCCTCTTCACAGAGCGCTTCTGCTCTCTAGATAACCAGATAAGAGCAAACAGCTCAATCAGCACCGAGTCCAAAGATCTCCCGGAAGCAGAGGTGCGGCTGTGCCAGCTCAGCCTGGCACGTCCCTGCTGGCCACGGGCGAACCAGGGGGGGCTGCACTGCCCCAAAACCACCTGCCAGGGGGAGAGGGATGGAACGCACGGCCGCTCACGGCTGCATCCCGCTCAGCCCGCCCGTGCCGTCGGCCTGGAGGGAAGTGACATTGAGCAGCACGGGGTGAGGGTACGGTGCTGCCGTCCTCCGGCCCCGCTATGGAGAAGGGCAGAGCTCGGCTCCCCAGGTCACATCCAGCGAAAGGACGAATCCTGCCGCGCCGGTGGGGCGCGATGTCCTCCCGCTATGGGGACACCCCTGCGGGACGGGTTCTGCGCAGCGCGACTGCGGGGGTGATGGGGATCTTCGGGTGGGGATGCGGCTCCAACCGGGGTCGAAGAACGGCGGGATGCCGGGTGGGTCCTACAGGAAATGAACAACGAACCGCTTTATGAGCAGCCCGCCCTGCCGATGCACCGTCCCGCAGTGTCAGTGCGAAGCTGTCGGCCACGAGATGGCACCACGACCGCATCGCAGGTCCCGGCCGTGTCCCCGCGCTGCGCGGAGGCGAGGCGACAGCGGGACCCGGAGGCATCACAGCCATCCTGCCCCTGTGAACGGCACCGAGCCGAGGCCGGGCATATGCATGTCACCGATGCTCCCGGCCAGGCCGCTGTCACCCCGGAGACCCTCTGTTGGTCCTCCCGTGCAGTTGGGCTGTGCAGGAGCCCCTGCACGGGGCTGGGTGGGGGCACACGGTGACCACGAGGTCCCTGCAATCATCACAGCAACCAAAGTTTCTCAAGGATGCGCCATGCGGTTGCCACGGTGACCATCAGGCATCGCTTCGCTTCCGTCCTGCTAATTAACAAAACGTGCTAACGATGCTGCACATCCTCCTCCTCCTCTTCCTCCAGCCATCCCCAGGGACTCCGACCCGCTCACCGGGGGCTGCTCTGAGCTCTAGAGCGGCCTCGACCGGACGAAGCCCATCCACTGTGCGTCCGGTGGGGCCCGGCCCTCCCCCCCCCGGGAGCTTTCCTCGACGACGGGCCCAGAGGAAGGCTTGGGGGAGACATCCTCCCTTTGTGGGCTATTGTTAGCCTTCCGCCACCTGCGGGGCTGTGGGGTGACTCAGGCCGGGGTGATGCACCCGAGCAAACAGGACGTGGGGTGGGAGGGAGGGAGGGAACCCCTGGGACCCCAGGAATGCGGAAGGTGGTGTAGGAGCATTGGGGTCCAGGGGAAATCCCCTGTGAAGGGGGCTGGGGATCCATCGGTGATGCGGAGCGCTGCGGAAGAGCACAGGGCACCCACCTCCAGCTGAACCCACAGCAGCTCTGGAGCACTGCAGCTCTGTTGGGATGCAAAGCTGTTGCTTTATCTGCCAGCAAAATCCCATCTGTGTCCAGCTGCACATCAGTGGTCACCACACCAGTGATGGTGCAGAGGTGGTTTTGGGAGGCCCTGTGCAGACATCTCGCACCTCCACAGCCCTCACTGGCACGGAGCACCTGAAGCTGGAAAGGTCCCACTGCAGGACACCCCAAGCAGCATGCCAGGAGCTCACCCTGATGGAGCTCACCTCCAAGAACAGACACCCACCATCCCCTCTGTGTGCTGTGCCCCACACTGCTCTGCCCCACACACAGCAAAGGAATGCTTCCTGCAGGCAGGGGAGCCTTTGGTGCTGCTGTTTGTGCCCTCTGCCATGTTCCAGGGGCTGCCTACAGCCCCCCCCCTTCCCTCCTCCTGAGCAAAGCATTTCCACCTTACCTCTGATGCAAAATCCCCCTTTCAGCTGAACCTCTCACCCACCAGCCCCCAGGGCTCCTCTCCAGGAACTTTTCTTTCTCCTCTTTACCCACCTCTGGGTTTGACCTGACACAGGTGCAGCCCATTGGCCTCATTAAAACCTCATTAGATTCACAAGGGCCCACATGAGGCCCACAGAACCCCTTGGATGGCATCCATCTCCTCCAGTTCCTCCACTGCACCACTCAGCTGTGTGACATCTGCAGCACTGCTGAGGGTGTGCTCAGCCTCCTGTCCTTGTCACAGAGCTGTTAAATCACTCTGGTCCCCCCAGGAGCCCTGGACACCACTGGTTGCTGCTCCTCACTTGCACACAGAGTTGTGGAGCTCTCTGGGTGCAACCCAATCAAGTCCTTATCCACTGAGCAGTTCTCCATCTGCCACATCCACATCTCTGTCGTGCAGAGGCAGCAGGACATCCCCAAAGCTCTGGGTGAGCCGCATCAGTCCGTGCCCACCAGCACCGTGAGCGCTGGGGATCAGCAGCTCCTGTCCTTCCCCCATCACTTCTGGGCTCTCCGAGCACCTCGTACAGCTTCCAGGAGGATCTGCTCCGTGAGCAGCACACCGGGCACAGCAGTGACACCGCCCGGCCTGCAGCTTCCTGGCTCTTCCTTTTTCTTTCCCCCTTTTTCAGACAGCGCGACCCCGTCGGGCCGCCACGACTCCTCACTCAGTGGTTTGGCACCGGCACCCCCAGCTCCCCCCGGCTTCCACCCCCGGCCGCACTGCGGGCTGATGCGGGGGGCGTGGGGGGGGGGGGGAGGGTGGGCTCAGAGCTCTTTGCCGACCTCAGTCATTCTGAAGTCCCTCCCTTTGCTCCCCGGCAGATCGCGGGGCCGACCCTCCCCACGAGCATCCTCGGCGCTCCCCGCGTCCCTTCGGATGCCACCCCCTGGGCACCCCGGGGGGCTGCAGCGCTGAGAGGGCGGAGCGGGGCGGGGCGAGCTGCGGACCCCCCTCCCCCGTACCGGCGGCCACATGACCGGGCGGGAGCGGGGCCGGGCCGGGTTCTCACCGCCTACAAATGCGGCGATCCCGGAGCGGGGCCACCGCCTCCTGCGTGTCCGTGTCCTCGCGTGTCTGTGTCCCCGCGCAGGGCGGAGCATGGCGGCGCGCCGCTGGCTGCTGGCGCTGCTGCTGCTCTTCTGCCTCGCGCTGAGCGCCGCGTCCGCGGGTGAGTGCGGGGCTGAGAGCCGTGCGGGGTCGGGGAGGGCGGGGGGAGGCAGAGCCGTCGATCCCCGGGAGTGGGGGGGGGGAGAGGACAAAGCGCTTTTCACGGTGGCAACAAACCGCGGACTGTCCCGAAGGCAGGGAGGCCGAACGACGGCCGGGAGCCGCCTGTGCCACCGGGTGCCGGGGGGCGGCCGCGCCGTCTCTGGTGCCATCCACGTGCTGGAGGTACCGGAGCATCTCCGCCGTCACCCCGAGCTGTGTGGCTCCGCGGTGGGGGGCTGAGATCGAAGCCTGATCGGGGTTTTGCCGTGCCCTGTGGTGACAGCGGTGGCACCGTGCAGGTGACCCGGCCATCTGGCTGCAGGAAGCGCTCGCTCTCTGGGCGCGTGGCTCCTGCCGGGAGGGTGATTGAGGAGATGCTGCCCAGCTCCTGGAGCATCCCCACCCCACGGGTGGGCAGGGCATCCGCTCACGCTGCTCTGCCATCCCCAGGGCCTCTGGGAGCGGGGCTGGACGGGATGGATCCTGAGGACGGCCTCATCCGAACGCTGGTGCGGCCACGGGGTGCGCGGCGTGGGAACGTGCGGCGGCCAGGAGGGTGGAGGAGGCTCCGCCGTCCCCGGCCACGGCTGTCCCATAAGGGCCCCATGCCCTTCTGATGGAGGTGAGTGACGTGGAGGGGACACGCGTGGCGCTGCCCACAGCTCGCTCATCCTGACGGCCTTTGCTCTCCTTGCAGGACCGCCGCCAGCGCTCCAAGGATGCATCCCCACTGCCTGCTCTGCTCGTCCCTGAGCCGGCATCACCTCCCTGCAGCTGTCCCTGGTGGCTCTGGCACCGTGTTCTCTCAGTGCCCCGTGCCCCGATCCTGGTGTGCCGGGTCCAGGGGCTCTGCGTAAAGCACTTTGTCTGGCGGAGGAGCTCTCCGTGGGGCCCTGCCCCATCCCCTCCTGGAGGGGTCTATTTATTCCTGTGATGCTGACCCCGTGTGAGCTGCCCTGTGGGGTTCCCACCCCCTGGGGCTCCGCAGGAAGCACTGATGTACCCTAAAAGGGCCGCAGCGGTGCCGGGCCCTGCTGGTCACCGCGTCTGTCACGTCTGTAAAGAATTGTTCTGTGTAAATACATCTTTATTATAAAGAGCTATGATGACAGTAAGCACTTGTGGTGATGGTGTGGTGGGAGACTGAATGAAGGGCTGGGGGATGTTCTGCAGCCTGTGGGGCTGGGGTGCTCTGTGGCCTGAGTAGGGACGCATCCCATCACTGCTCCCATGGTGCTGATTTTGGTATCAGTGCTGTGACAGCAGCCAGGCTGGGGTCTCATGCATCTCTTTAGCCAGAAGTGGTTTGTAACTCAGGGTGTGAGCACCACGATGCTGATGTTGCCGTGGTTACCGGCTGCTGGGTGCAGCACCCGTGTCTGGGGTTGGGCTGCCTGGTCCTGGGCACCTCTGGTTGCTGCCATCCTCTGGTGGCCGCTGGACACCCAGCCTGCCTCAGCCCTGCACCGTGTGCTCTAGGTCCCTTCGTCCCCCCGTCTGCTGTCCCTATTCCCAGTCTGTGCTCCTGGTGTCCTCCTCCCTGCCATCTCTATTCTTGGTGTCCCTATTCCTGGTGTCCCTGTCTCTGGTATCCACGTCCCTGGTGATCCTATTGCTGATGTCCCTGACAGCCCTGCCCTTGCCGTTCCACTTCCCAGTGTCCCTGTCGCCGTGGGTCCTGGTAGGCAAGCAGCTGCAGGCACCTCTCCCTGGTGTCCCTCCAGGCCCACGCAGGAGGGTGGCAGCTTGGGGCTCAGCAAGCAAATCTTACACTTGGATGGGGGCTGAGCTGTGCAAAGGGACGGGACCACCCCAGAAATCTCCAAGCCAGGGCAGTGCAGTGCATGCGGGGCTCCCGAGGCCTCCATCCCCTGCAGGAGGGGTGCAGGAGGGAGAGTGAGGAGGGCACAGTGGTGGGGGTCCCACAGGCAACACAGGGCTGCAGCACTGGAGGGGAGGGGTTAATGGGGCTGTGGAAGAGCGGAAAGTCTGCAGCTGCGGGGCTGCAAGCAGGGGCCTGGGGGAAGCGGGGCTGGGCCCAGCTGGCCTCCATGAGCTCATCCTCGGGGACCGGGAGGGATGCACTCCTGGCCACGTGCCAGCGCGATCCCGACACGCCGCATGCCTGCGCCCGCCCTGCAGAGACGCGGCTGGGTTCTTCCCTTCTGCAGGGTTTGAAGGCTGCAGCGCCGCTGGGTACCTCAGTACGGGGGTTAGGATGCGCTGCCCCCACCCAGTGGCCTCGTGGCTGCCCTGGAAGGGGGAGGCCGGGGAGGTCCCCCCGGTTGGGCCGTGGCCAGCGGTGCTGGAGGAAAAGGCTCCTGGGCCAGGAGACCGAAGGAATCTCTGGCTTTTCCTGGCCTGGCTGGCTGCCCGCGGGCAGGTGGGGGCTGCTGGGCTGCACCGCTCTCCCCGTGCTGTGTGCTGTGCCAACACTGTGCCGTGCCAGCCGTTCACCTGCTGCAGGAGGGCTGAGAGGGTGGGTGCACGAGGGTGGCACCCGAGTGCCTGGCTGTGTGTGGGGTCCTGTCAGCACAGTGATAACTGGGTGCCAGAAAGCCCAACAGGGACATGCAGATGCCACCAACTGCGCTGCTCCCACTGCACAGACATCACCGCTAGGAGCACGGGCTGTACTCAATCCCCAAACTTTGCAGGGCTCAGAGCTGTGTGCTGCCAGCTCCCAAGGAGCCGCACAGCCTCGAGGACACGCAGGCCAGGCCTCATTCTGTCCCTGGGGATCCACGGGGCTTCGCGCCCTCTCTGGCATTTCCGCCGGCAGTGGCAGGAATGCGGCGGCCGTAGGAACAATGCGGCACCTTGCGCCCATCCTCTCCGTGACGAGGTCGGGAGCAGCTGCCTGGGCTCAGCCCCGCGCTCAAGGAGCAGGCAGGATGCAGATGGAGATGACACCGGTCGCAGTTTCCTGCGGCAGGATGAGGCCAGCTTTCTCCAGCTCTGCTCCAGATGCTGAGCCAGGAGCGCTGGGGGGCTCAGTGCTGTGCCCGCTCCCCATCGCCTGACGTGGCATCGGGGCCATGGCTGGTAGCAGCACTTGGCACAGCTCTGTGCCACGGGATGCTGCAGCCCCTGTGATGGGACGGGCAGCAGGCTTGGTCTGAGCCCCAGCCTGGCCAAAGCACTGCTCGCACAACTGAGGTTTATTTGGAACAGACAGATTTCCAATAAATTATGTAATTTAAAAATTAAAAACAAAAACAAAAAAACTACAATAAGAGCCTCAAGGTCCTGGATCCTTGGCTGCAGGGGAACACAGGCAGTGAGATGTGGTTGGGTTCGTGGGTCTCAGGCTGAACATTGGCACCCACAGCTCCCAGTGCAGGCAGGGCTCAGCGTAGTGTTTGAGCAGGGTCAGGCTCCCCCCTTTCCAGCCCCCCAGCACCAGAGGCCCCCAGCTCCTTTCCTGCTACACTTGAGGCCCATTCTCACCCCTCACCCTCTCCCCCTCAGGACAGACAGGAAGGCACCCAACATTGCCCGCACCCCCAGCTTCCTCAGGCAGGGTCGGGGTCCAGGAGCTGGGTCCTGCTCTGTGCCATGCCTCAGAGAAACCATGTGCAGCCCACAGTGCTGCTTGATGCAGGCTCCTCCACCCAGCCACCAGCACCACTGGCTCACAAGGAAGCCAGGGCACAAGGGAACAGAGAGGGGAGAGCAGGCAGCGCTCTGGTGCCAGAAACCCAGGGGCCACAGCAGGGGCCAGGAATGACAAAGCCTTACCCACAGACAGGGAAGCAGGAAAGAGGATACTGCACTAATGGAGGGAAGGGAGGAGGCCACGCGCCCAGATAACCCTCCTGGCACAGTTCTTTCATAGCACAGTGACGGTGTGTTGGGTTGAATCTGCTGCATGGCCGAGGGTGGCACGTGCCCAACACCTGTAACAGCACAGAGCTCCCACCAGCACCGCAGGGACAACAGCACCAGCAGTCTCCACCCTTCCCTGCAACGACTCCAGGGGGTGACAAGGAGAGAGAAGCGCGGTGCAGGGAAGTGGTGGCACTAAGGAATGGCTGCTGGCAGCGTGCTCAGCTATCAGCAGATCCAGCCGGATCCGGGGGAGAAAGCAGGAAGCTCCCGTCATGGATGGCAGTGCAATGAGTGAGCAGGTCCTCTGCAGTGTGGGGTACAGCAGCGGGAAGGAGGGCACAACGCTTCCCTCGCAACTGTAAACACGGCACTTGGAGTAGCTTAGAGCCTTCTGCCCTTCAGGAGCCACCAGCGGCACGGGGCCCAGTTTGGCAAGAGGCAGGAGTCACTCCTCATCCCCGGCAAGCAAGAAACCATAGAGGAAGTTGATGGCACGCTGGCGGTCCTGCTGGGTCTGCTTGGTCATCAGATTGGGGGGAGGCCGCAGGAGGAGGCTGGTGAACAAGGTGGCTGCAGAGGCAAAGTTACAGATCAGGAACGGAGACCTGAGAGGTGCCAAGAAGGGGATGTGCTCCAGGGAGAAGGCAGAGATGACAGCCTTACCGATCATGGTAGCACTGACATTGTTGTCTTCAGAGTATTTGAGCAGCTCTCGGAGGAACGAAATCAGGTACCGAAACACACTGCGATGGCAGCGAGGCAGCTGAGAAATCACCTGCAAACAAAACAGACACGGCGCACCTTGCTCCAGCCAGGCCGAGCTGTGCAGGTCTGGACTGCAGGCAGGCAGCATTCCCCTTCTGCTGCACAACCAGTGAGCCACCAGCTGCAACCCATGGCTGATGGCACCGCTTCAGCTCCTGCCTAACTCTCCCTCTAGGAGAACCACACCACCAGGTAAAACCTGACACTGCCCTGAGGCTCCTTCCCTCTCATCTTCTGCTGGGATCCAGTTGCGTGCAGCAGCACGAGGACCAGGATGAGAGGCTTCCTGAGGCCAGCTCTGAAACATGCCTGATTTCTTCCTCTGCCTGAGGACATTCCTAGCTTTGCTCGTGGCCCCAACAGCTGCTTCTAGGAGTTGCTCAGTCACAGTCCTTAGAGGAAGCACAGGAACGGTGGTGCTCTGCAGGTGCTTAAGCCCTTGAGACCAGGGGAGGCTGTTTCAATCCCTGGGGCCACTCCGCATGCGCTCAGGGTGACACTGTGCACACTGGGGGTCTCTTTGGAAGCCCCCAGCTCCCCTGGGATGGCAGCGACAGCCTTCTGACAGGAGAGCACACCCAGCTCACTGCACTCACGCCATGAACTCCCCAGAGCACACCTCCCAAAGCTCCACGCCAGCCCATAGGAACACAGTGAGCCCCAGCACCGAGCCAGAGCAGCAGGGAAGTCTCCTCACCTGTCGGCAGAGCCGGCTGTCATGAGAACAGTCGAGGCACCTCTGATACAGCTCATAGCAGATCACCGGCTCTGGCAGAGCCTCCAGGAAGATGAGGAGTGCTTCAGCCACAGAGTGGTTGCTGCCCGCTGGGCAGAGGCAGTCAAGGGACACACAGAGCTGATGGATCACCCCCCTGCCTCTCTGCTTTCCTGTCTGCTCAGCTGCTGCTTCCTCCCTGCAGGCTGCACCGGAGCCCTGCCTAACTAATTGCTCCCCAACACCACAGCCTTCCCTCTCTGCTCTCCCCCAACCACACAAAATGCTGTTACATGCACCTTGCACTGCGTTTGCCCACCCCTGAGACCCTCTGTTCCAGCAGCCCCTTCCCCAGGCCACGTTCCCCAGAACCCAACTGCCAGTTCCTGCTCTCGGCACAGCCTCACAGCAGCTTCCCTGCAGCTGTACTAGCCAGAGGGCACCTCTGGGTGCAGAGCAGAGCCAGACCTCCCAATGGGATCCTACCACAAAAGCTCTCCCAAGGGAGATTTCACAGCAGAACTGAGATCCAGCAGGCTCCTGGGAATGCCATGTGCAGCAAGGATACGGATTGTCTCAGGGATACTGGTGTCCAGGCAGTCAATGATCTGCTGCAGCTCCTCTTGCATGCCTGGAGTCTGAAACAGATCCTCCTGCCAAAGACAGTGGTGTCAGCACAGAGATGAGAAAAAGTCACCTTCCTCATGGAAGCTGAGGCACACAGTGAGGGCAGGGTGAGAACTGGTACCCAGGCAGCACCTCAAGCAGAGGAGAAAAGCTTTATAAACACC